TCCCTGGGACATGAGCCTCACTACTGTTCCCTGAAGCAGTACAATCCATCCTTCAATAGCTCTTCCCCATCCTGAGACTGTAGAAGTCATGACACGGCCACAAAAATGCACCCTGAAACATGGAGACCAGTTAGCTTGCAGCCTCTGCTCAAAGCAAGCATGGCTTTAGGCAAATTCTCTCCTCTCTGAGCCTCTGTGTGCAACTCGGTCAAATGGGGTAATAACGCCTCCCTGGCTGACTCGGGTGGGGATGAAGCAAGGTGCCCCCAGCCAGGGTGTAGCCCGCAGGAGCACCTGGGGAGTGTCTGCTCCTGAAGCTTCACTGAGCAGCTCTCTGGTGAGCGTGTCAATAAAAACACCATAACAACATAGTCACATAGTTACTACCGTTTCCAAATGCCTGCTCTGGGCCAATCCTCCCACTAACCTTGGAGGAAGGTGTCATTTTCATTTGCAGATGAAGAAACTGACAACTAGGCAGCAAGCTGGGGTGACATGCCCAAGGTCACTCAGTAAGTCACCAAGCTATGAACCAGGGTGTGGGAGCCTTTGGGTGCATCGTCTGTCCCAGCACAGGGACCACCGCCACAGCCCTGAACCACAACTACTGTGTGTGGTATGGCGGAGGAGCACCGGGCAGAAGTCCAGAGCCCTGAGTCAGTCTGCTCCCCTCTCTTCTGCAGAGCAACTGCATGACCCTAGGCTACTGCTTACCCTCTCTGGCCTCAGTTTCTCCATCTGTATAGTGGGGGTGCTGGAAGTCAAAACTCTTGGGATTGCTTTACTAATTCTCTTGAGACTGTGCAGGCAATAGCAGGAAGTCAAAAGAGAAAATGTGTCCTCATGGGAAGGATATATCGAGTTCTTCCATCCTTTAACAACCACTAATTAGTTAATCCCTATAGCAGCAGGGTGAGTTATCAGGCATTATTATCCTCAATTTACAAGCAGGAGGTTGAATGAGAGAGGGATTGGCCCCAGGCTCAGGGCAGGGATAAGATCAGTGAAAAGACACAACAAATTGCTCCAGAACTGGGGGAGGGGACAGTGGAGGGATGAGGGAGGCCTCCAGGGAGAGAAACCACGCAGGAATGTATTTCTGATCCGCATGGAGTTGAGGTCCCTTGAAGGGAATCTGAGCTAGCTCTCTCTTGCACGGATGGGCAGACGGAGGCCCAGGGAAGGGGAGAGGCTAGCTAGCCCAAGGTCACACAGCCAGAATCGCAGACCAGAAGCACATAAGGCCATGGGTTCTCAGCTGAGGCTGTTCAAATGGGGGCTGGGAAGGGATGGTTCCTAAGAGCTGGGCTCCCTCTGTAGCCCTCCCCAGATTCCTAGAGAAACCAGCCAGCGGTAAACCCCTGGGGATTATGTGTGTACTAATGGCCTGTGACAAAGGCAGCAGGATAAGCTCCCTGCTCTGCAGACTAAACAAGGTACAAGAAGCCAAGTCAAACAAAAGCCCAGGTTTTGTGTTGGCCTGGCTGGTGGGCTAGAAGCCACCCAGCCTCTTGGGAGGCCAGGCTCTGTGCCACGGCCCAGAATCTCCTCTGGTGGCCTTTCTCCCCTTTGCCACCAAAGGCGGGATGCAATCGTGTCCACAACACTTGACCATCCCTGTCTGTAGCACAGAATGCACTTTTATCGCATTGCCCCTGAGAAGAAATTGGGCACCAGAGAGGGGAAGGAAGATACGTGTCCGCAGTCACAGGGCATGTCAATTAAGAGGCTGGGACCCAAGGCTTCCTGACTCCCCGTTCTACCACAGTCTCCCGAATTCTTCCTTCATGCTGAGAGCCATACGAACACTGGAACAGAGGGAAATGCAATCCCCCAATTTCTGTCCAAAGTACCGTCCTACCTGATATCTCATCGAGTCCACAGCACAGGCTCTGGCAGTCGAGAGGCCTCCGTTCAAGTCCTGCTTCTGCCTATTTCTAGCCCCAGGGCTTTGGCAAATTATTTCACCACTCTGAGCCTCAGTTTGCTTATCTCCAAAATGCAAGAAATAATGGGTACCCCCCCCCCATTGAGTTATTGGGATGATTAAATGACTTAATGGATGCAGAGTGTTTTGCTCTGTGGGTGGCATACAGGAAGCACCCAATTACTGTTATTGCTATTAGCAACCATGGCACCAAAGCACCACATGGCTGAGGGCAGGGCCCTCCTCCACTTCTCTAAGCTTCACATTCTTCTCTTTCAAATGAGCTATCACAAGTATTTCTTCTAACTCCAGGGCTCTGTGGTCTCTACCCCCAGCTTCCCCCAACCCAAAAGAAACTATGGATTCCACTCCAGAGTCAGGAGGCCACTTCTCTGCTTCCCTTTCCCGGCCAGGCTGCTGGCCCTGCCCGGGGGCCCCGCACACCTGCTCCAGGATATTCTGGGTGTGAGTCCCCACACAGGAGGTCTGTCCGTTCCCAGAGCTGCTGCTGAGTTTGTATGTGATTGCAAATTACGAAACCTTGGGCCTTGAAGAGCTGGGGGGAAATCTTGGAGATTAGGGCTGAGGAAGAGAGTCAGGAACATCCGGGGCTGCACTGGAGAGCGTGACGTCTCTCCTCTCTGGACAAAACCTCCCTGCCTTTCAGGTAAAAACAGCTGAAGATATGGCATCCTCCTACCTCTGCGGACTCAGGGGTTGGTCGCAAGCAACCCCCTCAGCCATGCATGTGTCAAAGGGGCCCTCTCCCCAGTCCTAACTGCAGGGATTGTTCTGGTTGTTTCTAAACACACGTTCTTTTCTTACCTCCTAGAGCTCACTTCTGCAAAATAAGAATGATGTGACTTCAGGCCCGGGGCCATTTCTCAATCCTTCCCTTCTGGTTCCTCGTGGGGATTAAGGTGATACTGTTCTCTACCAGCAAGGAAGGTGGCAACAGGACACGTGAGGAGATTACTTACCTGCTCCTGCTTAAGCCCCTGGAGGGTTTGTGTAATACTGCTTAAAAATCTTAAAAAATAGAGACCCTGTTTGTGGGATTACAGGGTGTGGAGACATTCTCGCCTTTCACATTGACACTTCGGATGGCTGCCAACCCCATTCAGTCCTGCCAGTTGCTGAGCCCTGCTTTGCACAGAAGCGATTTATTCCAGTCTATTAAAAATGAGTCACCCTCCGGGAGCCCCTTATCTTTAGAGCACATTCTACCATTGACCAGTCTGGACTCAAAGTAATGTTTCCAGGCACAAGGGTAGCTGGGAAACTGTTGGGCTGTGTTAAAGGCTCTGCTCCTGCGGTGCTTGCTGTGTGACCTTAGGCAGGTCACTTTTCCTCTCTGGGCTTCCATTTCTTAACCTGTTGCCAAATCATAATAACCTCAAGCCACATCTGTTGCTCACGGTTAAGTGAAAGTGCTTTCTGAAATGTACATTGTGGCACAAACTCAAGGGCTTATCGTTGTCAAATTGTATAGTTATTTGACTCTTTAAATTACTATATGTATAACTTTGATAAAAATAAAATCTTTTTTCTAAATGATGTGTTGATAAGCATTGTAGAGTTTAGTTGAAACATTTGGGAATAATCAGGGGAAAGGACATAAAAAACTAATCAAAGCAATTATTAACCCCAGGAAAAAGAGGGAAAAAAGTACAAGGAAGGAAACAGTATTATAGTAGGCTTAGCATTAAATGATATTTAATGAAAACACTAAACACTGATTGAACCAAACATTGTGATAGTATAGTGAGAGGATGAAGTGGAAAGTTGGGGAAGGTTAGTTAAAGAGGTTAAACCCTCTCCTATAAAAATATGAATTCCATAGATAATGTCTAAAATTGACAAATCTAGAAGTACCAATGTAAGCATAGCAATTAGAAATGCAGATATAAGTAGCAGAAGAAAGAGCTAAAGGAGTGGAAAGTGGTTGCATGGAGGAAGCACCCAGGGGAATAAAGAAGGATGAGGAAGAGAGCTATTTTTCATTATTTAACATTATTTGACTTTTTTTAGTTATGAATATATAGTCTTGGATTAAAATGAAAGTTAAGCGTCGGCCTGCGGACTGAAGGGTCCCAGGTTCGATTCCGGTCAAGGGCATGTACCTTGGTTGCGGGCACATCCCCACTGGGGGGCGTGCAGGAGGCAGCTGATTGATCTCTCTCATCGATGTTTCTAACTCTCTATCCCTCTCCCTTCTTCTCTGTAAAAAATCAATAAAATATATTAAAATGAAATGGTTGCGGGATCCCCACTGGGGGGCGTGCAGGAGGCAGCTGATCGATCTCTCTCATCGATGTTTCTAACTCTCTATCCCTCTCCCTTCTTCTCTGTAAAAAATCAATAAAATATATTAAAATGAAAGTTAATTAAAAAAATAAAACTAGAAACAAGTGACAGCTACAAGGAGGCTAATTTAGGTTCCAGATAAAAAAGAACTTCCTAATAGCTAATCTATTCAAAAGTGGAACTGGCTGCCCCTACAGATAGTGAGATCCCTGTCATCAGAAGTATGTAAACAGATGTCCATCTGTCAGAAATAAGGTAGAGGGCTCCGGCTTTGATTGGGTAGCTGGAGTAAATAAACTTAGGGATCCCTTTCAATTCTAAGATCCCGTCCAGTTCTATGCATCTGTGGAAGTTGGAATGTTATTGTGTTTTTCTCTCCTAAGTAGATCATTTATCTGTGCATTTACTAAGCATTTGCTTAGTGCCTATTTGGTTTCTGGTGCTGCACCAGGTCCTGTATTGGGGGTAGGGGAGCCAGAATAGATAGAACACAGTGTCTGTTTGCAAGAATCTTTAAAGGTCAGTCCTGGGGCGCTCCTCAGCATTTGTCTGATCCAACCCCTCATTATACAGAGAAGAAAACTGAGGCCCAGAGAGAGGCGGGCACTTGCACAACGTCACCCCACATCAGTGGCAGAGTCAAGCCCACATCTAGCCCTCGAGTCCCGCGCGACTACTCTTTTCCTCGCAATGTCTCCTCTGAAAAGCACTTCCTCCAAAATAGTTCTAACAAAAACAAAGCTGATTCTTGGTGGTTCTTACTGACCTCACGTAGACATCGTTGTGCAATTGTAGCAAGATTTGGTTCCTGGATATCTGCTTCAGAGGAATATGTGGTGAGCTTTCTGGAAACACCCAAAGTTCACTGAACCCAAACTTCCAAGATCTAAAACAACAGAAATAAAACTAATTGGTATTGCTGTGCCTCAGCATCTCTTGAGATGCGTGAGAATTCTTAGGTAGAGCGTTATGGCCTATGTCATGGGTAAAATCCCAACTCATTTTGTGGAGTTTGTTATTGTTCCAACAGCTGTGAGAGAGCCAACGTCTGCATGTACCAACATCTCTTGGTAGTATCACTTCCTGGTAGTATCACTTTGCTTGATTTGATAGTCCTGTCTTTGTCACCTTGAAAAAAGTCCCACATCTCACTGAATTTCAGTTTTCCCTATCGGTTTTTTGTTTTATAAGTAAGAGTCACCATGGGTATTAAACGAGACCAGTGGTTTGCAAGCGTGGCCATTTTCTCCCCACCCCCCAGGGGACATTGGGCAACGGCTGGAGACATTTTTGGTTGTCACCACTGGGATGGGGTGCTACTGGCATCTAGTGGGGTAGAGGCCAGTGCTGCTGCTAAACATCCTACAGGGCACAGAGAAACCCCTCCCAACACAGAATCATCTGCTCCAAAATGTCAATACTGCTGCTGTTGAGAAATCCTGGGCTAGACTCCTTGGCTACAAGTGACAGGAACCTAATTCTAACTTGTTTAAGCAAAAGAAAAAGAGGGGAAAAAAGTAATAAAAGAACATGCGCTATCAGAAGGATATTATCATTACTTTTAAAAAAATGTAAGAGCCAAAATAACCTCAGGATGGATACACCTTGGCAACTAGAATAAGTAATTCAACTCCCATCCGGAGTACCTCTCCCTTCTCTCTGTCTTCCTTCTGTTACTCTTTCCATGTGTCACAGGACTAGCCACATTAGTCTGAGCTCATGTCCTCACAGCTTCATAACCAGGGAGGTTTAAAGGCCCTTTCCTTTCCCAGCTCCACTATCACAAATGCCAGGGGAAGATTCTGATTAGTCGAGCTTGGGTCACATGTTCATCTCCTGAACCAATGACTAAGTGAGAGTGAAATACTATACAATGTTTGGCTTAGCCTGTGCTACATGCCCACATGTGGCCAGAGGAATGAATTCTGTTTCCTGAAGTTGGGGGAGGGGTTCTAGATGGACACAAACAACAGCCACCACAGCGTGGAATAACAGCCACCACATCTGGATGCCGCTCTTGGCTCTGCCTCTAACTTGCTATGTGACCTTAGATAGACTATCTTTCCCTTTCTGGGCCCGTTTCTCACCTGTACAGTGAAAGGGTAGACCAGAAATCAAAGGGATTTCCTTTCTAACATTTGATAATTTTTAGTTAGTTAAGTGTTATTCATCACCCTAACAATGATGACATTTGAAAATACTTGCTTTTAGATTGCTGGCTCAGGATATAATATCTAGTCTAGAAATACCTAGAAGTTTTTCATATTTAGTTTAGTTTTCTGATCTTTCCCAACTTGCTAATGTTAATGAAAACAGCACCAACTAAAATGCTTTAGGATATATTCATGTTTTTAAAATGACTCATGTATTTCTTTGCATTTCTTAATTATTTCATAATATTCAACCCTTGTGAGGGAAATTTATAGCCCCACAAAAACCACTTACATATTGGTTTTTATTTTTAAAAATAAATTATTGGTGATTAGCTTCAGAAAGAATAAATGAAATTTTCATTGAACTTAGAATATAAATTTTACCTTATTCTTATTATAAAATGTATACAGAAAAAATAGATGGTGCTTGGAAGTCCCCAACAACATGGGGAAAAAGGCAAAGATTTCAATAACACCAATCAATCACTCATCCAACAAATATTTCATGAGTGCCTACTATGTGCAAGACACTATTCAATGATCTGCCCCTGTGTAACTTACATCCTAGTGACTGAAGAAGGATTTGTTAAGTCCTGGCCCTTCATCAGTGAGAGGCAGTGCCTATCGCTCAGCCCCTTGCCAGCCTCTCCAGCTCCAAGAGAACTCCCACTCACACACCCTCACCTCATCACACAGGACTTCAGGTTGCCAATTCCAGAACTCACCAGCTCCCCCTTCTACTTGGAACTCTCCTGCCTTTACATGTTTATCACCAACTCTGGGAAACCCCCTCAGATGGTTTTTTCTTCTTACTCCGCAGATTTAGTCTTGACCACCTCATAGAGAAAGCTACCACTCAGTACCTCTCAGTTTACGTCAGAATTATTTGTTTAGGTCACTGCTTCCCTCACTGGACTGTGATTTCTCCAGGGAAAGGAAAGGTTCTTATTTACCTGAAATTTTTCAGAGCTTAATCAACACACACACACACACACCTCAAACCCGCTCTTCCTCTTCTATTCCTCTTCTCAGTGAGTGGCACCCCCATCCTCCCAGTGGCTCAGGTCAGAAACCTCAGCATCATCCTTAATGAATTCCTCTACCTCACCTCAACCAACTGAGCCACACTGGCCAGCTATATAATTTTTTTTTTTAAAAAAACAGCCTTTATCTTTCAGAAACACAAGATACATGTATCCTAAATGATCTGGGATTTCCTTCAAAAAAATCCAGTGGCAAGGAGTTGGGAGTAGATAGGGTGTAAATGAAGCAAGACTGACCATTTGTTGATATTAATAAAGCTACAGGATGGGGATGTGGAGCTTTAGTATATTCATAGCTCTATTTTTGCATATCATTCAAACTTTCATACCTCAAACCCGCTCTTCCTCTTCTATTCCTCTTCTCAGTGAGTGGCACCCCCATCCTCCCAGTGGCTCAGGTCAGGAACCTCAGCATCATCCTTAATGAATTCCTCTACCTCGCCTCAACCAACTGAGCCACACTGGCCAGGGCTATATAATTTTTTTTTTTTTAAACAGCCTTGCCGAAACCGTTTTGGCTCAGTGGATAGAGCGTCGGCCTGCGGACTGAAGGGTCCCAGGTTTGATTCCGGTCGCGGGCACATCCCCAGTGGGAGATGTGCAGGAGGCAGCTGATCGATGTTTCTCTCCCATCAATGTTTCTAACTATCTATCTCTCTCCCTTCCTCTCTGTAAAAAATCAATAAAATATATTTTTAAAAAAACAGCCTTTATCTTTCAGAAACACAAGATACATGTATCCTAAATGATCTGGGATTTCCTTCAAAAAAATCCAGTGGCAAGGAGTTGGGAGTAGATAGGGTGTAAATGAAGCAAGACTGACCATTTGTTGATATTAATAAAGCTACAGGATGGGGATGTGGAGCTTTAGTATATTCATAGCTCTATTTTTGCATATCATTCAAACTTTCATTTAAAACTTTTTAAAATAATACCTCTAGCCAACGACATGGGGGCAGCTATTTCCAGTGATGATCTGAGTGCAACAGGGACAGTCTTTACCTCTCCCCCTCACACCAGATGCCCCTGCACTTACAGGACTGGAAACCTAAAGAGGCGTCTGAGGTCACATTTTAAGGATGCATAATGGAGGGGAATTTGGAGAGGGAACAAAATTATTAAGGAGGATTATACTGTCACCACTTGACACAATGGGGATTGCTGCTTTTAACTGCTTTAAACAAGTCTTACTTCATACCAGAGCTTCGGCTCAAGGAGGCGTCGCCATGGGAAGTGGATCCTGCCCAGGAGATCAAATCTTCCTTCCTGGCTGGGTCTTTGAGTGCGTGCTCCTACCCGACACAGCAAGAGAATGGAGGTGGTTCTTAGAATGCACTTGAAATTCTTCTTCCCTCTTCCTGGTGTCCTTGCAGCCAGGTGTCTTGGGAGGCCCAGGAATAAAGGCGCCTCTGGATAAAGTGGCCATCCTGCCTGAGGGGCTGGGGGACCAGGTCAAGTTTCTGCCTTTCCGTGGGTCTCTATTTCCTCCAGATGCAAGGAGAAGCAGTTAGCATAAGGTCAGCCAGTCGGCTCTAGACACAGCCGGTTCTGCAAGTCACCAGCTGTGCAACCTTTTCCCCTGCTGCACCCCTGAAAGCAATATGGGTCACTAGCAGCTCTACTGGAGCCACCAGCAAAAACTCAGCCAGAGTCGCACCCTGTTTTCATCCGCTCAAACTGACACTGCCTGATCTGGAAATATGGCCTCCATAGGGGCTACCAGTTTCCATTAATACTCAAAGGACATAGGCTTCATCAAGTTGGACTAAGTGTTCTTCCTTGAATAGATTATCCAAGACACCTACCTAATGAAAGAAACAATGCTAGCGAGTCCTCTGTACACAGAAATGTTTTATCATATAAAAAAAGGTAGGCATGGTCATTTCCAGCTCACATTGCTGTTCAAAGGGCAAAATTAGATAATGTATGCAAAGTGCTCAGCACAAGTCCTAGCATAGAGTCAGCTCGCATTAAATGGTTAGTACTATTCCTTATTTCCCCTTAAAATGTGGGTTGGCTCTAACAATTGATAAGGGTCCTCCTAATTCTAATGTTTGAGGAGTCGTTCATTTATACAACAAGCATTTCATTTCTTTCTTTTTTAAAATATCATTCTTTTTTCTTTCTTTCTTTCTTTTTTTACTGATTTCAGAGGGAGGAAGGGAGAGGAAGAGGGTGATAGAAACATCAATGATGAGAGAGAATCATTGATCAGCTGCCTTCTGCATGTGCCCTGACCGGGAATCGAACCTGATTCATGGGTCAACGCTCAACCACTACGCCACACTGGCTGGGCTACAAGCATTCCTTGCCAAGCCCTACACAAGGTGCTGTTACCAAGGCGAACAAAACTGACATGGGAGTTGGGGGCTAAACTTAGCACAGAAGGCCAAAACTCCACATAATCAAAATTACTTTTAAATTTCTTCCATCATCAACGGACCTCCCAATCATCTGCTTCTCATTCAGAGATGCCGTCAGAGGTACTGCTCGAGGGGAGCTATGGGGTCTGAGCCATGGAGTGACGGTGGCTGTGTGAACACAGCATCTTGTCCCCTCCCAGGGGAAGTGTTGGCCTTTTTATTCTATGTAAGCCAGTGGTTCTCAACCTTGTGGCCCTTTAAATACAGTTCCTCATGTTGTGACCCGACCATAAAATTATTTTCGTTGCTACTTCATAACTGTAATGTTGCTACTGTTATGAATCGTAATGTAAATATCTGATATGCAGGATGGTCTTAGGCGACCCCTGTGAAAGGGTCGTTCGACCGCCAAAGGGGTCGAGACCCACAGGTTGAGAACCGCTGATGTAAGCCTTCAACTGATGGGATGAGGCCCATCCATATTAGGGAGGGAAATCTGCTTTGCTCAGTCTAAAAATTTAAATGTAAATCTCATCCAAAAACACCTTCACAGAAACATTAGAGTAATGTTTGACCAAATATCTGGGTACCTCATGGCCCAGTCAACTTGACACATAAATTAACCACCATACTGCCCATGGATGCACTTTTATGATGAATTGGGACCAAGCAGTAGTACTGTAATTGTAATAGCTAATGAGAAAAGAGAGGCAGACCTAATCTCCAAGTGTTAACTGCAGATGAAATCTCACAGCCCTGAAGAAGCAAGCTTTCAGAAGTTAGAGTAAAAAAGTTTGTGGGAGAATGAAGACATTCCACCCACACAGTAGTACAGGCAGGATGGAATCAAAAGAATCTTCCCCTTAATAGGTCAGCCCATAGTAACATTGCAAATAGTCACTGAGTGTCAGCAAGAAATGAAATCTATCACATTGAATGCATTAGTTTGGATTTTGATGCTTTTTGTAATATTGTACTTAATTTATAAATTTGTTTTGGTTTTATTATTTATAAGGAGTTTATGCCTAGTTTTATATCAGTACACATTGAAGTTACATTAAACTAAAATATATTTAAGCCCAGCAAGGGTTGCTCAATGGTTGAGTGCCAACCTATGAACCAGGAAGTCACGGTTCAATTCCCAGTCAGAACACATGCCTGTGTTGTGGGCTCGATCACCAGTAGGGGATATGCAGGAGATAGTCGATCAATGATTCTCTTTCATCACTGATGTTTCTATCTCTCTTCCCCTCTCCCTTCCTCTCTGAAATCAATAAAAATATATTTTAAAAAATAAAATGAAATATATTTAAGTCAATTTAGGGGAGTCCATGAGATGTTTGTCCTTTTAAATTGGTCCCTTAGATTATTACTCTTAATTTGAGAATCCCATATATAATGTAAAAGTTTTTTTGGCCCTTTTTAGGGAATATATGTTCTGAAGCATTTTATTTGTAAAAGTCATTGCACTACATCTTTTAGAAACTTTTTATATAACAAATTGAAAAAAGTCTGTACTATGGCTACACTGGATTTGAAAAATACAGGTGGAGCAAAAGTAGCTTTACAGTTGTGAGTACACAGAATGGACTTTATTCTTATATTAATATAATATAAAAGGGTTTTTTTTTGGCCCTTTTTAGGGAATATATGTTCTGAAGCATTTTATTTGTAAAAGTCACTGAACTACATCTTTTAGAAACTTTTTATATAACAAATTGAAAAAAGTCTATACTATGGCTACACTGGATTTGAAAAATACAGGGTGGAGCAAAAGTAGCTTTACAGTTGTGAGTACACAGAATAGAGTTTATTCTTATATTATGGTTATTATTTATTATTGTATTATTTTCCACATGAACAACTGCAAACCTACTTTTGCTCCACCCTGTATTGAACATCACATCTCCTCTCAGATATACACAAAGCATTTTAGAAAATAAAAGGATCTGAGAAATCCAACAGATGTCAAATATTGTTTCACTCAGTGTTTCTCAAGCTTATTTGAGCAAATAATACTTCTATTGCAGCAACTACTAATATCCTGAGGAATAGCTTTCCTTGAAAAACACTCTTCTATAACACTATCTGGAATACCTATATGTTAATGTTCATAGCAGCACTATCACAATACCCAAAAGGTAGATACAACCCAAAATGAATGGATAAACAAAATATAGTATATCCATACAATTGAATATTATTCATACACAAAAAGGAATGAGATACTGATTCATGTTACAACATAAGGAACCTCAAGAACATTAGGCTAAAGAAGCCAGTCATAAAGGACTCCATGTTGTATGGTCCCATTTATTCCATATTCCATATCTCATTATGAAATATCCAGAACAGGCAAAAATATATAGAGACAGAAAACAGATTTGTGGTTGCCAGGGCCTCGGAAATGGGAAGTGACTTCTTAATGTATATGGGGTTTCCTCTTTGGTTGAGTGTTGACCCATGCACCAGGAGTTAATACTCACAATAAATATGAGTATTAATTTTGCTGAATATTTTTCCCTTTTATTTATTTATTTAATATATTTTTATTGATTTCAGAGAGGAAGGGAGAGGGAGAGAGAGATAAAAACATCAATAATAAAAGAGAATCATTGATTGGCTGCTTCCTGTATGCCCCCTACTGGGGATCGAGCCCACAACCCAGGCATGTGCCCTAACTGGGAATTGAATGGTGACCTCCTGGTTCATAGGTCGACGCTCAACCACTGAGCCACGCTGACCGGGCATAAAATTGTATACTTTAAATATGTGGAATTTATTTTATTTTAATTGTATCTCAATGAAGTTCTTAAAAAACATGTTTAAAGTATATGTGATAAGAGAGCTTTAGGGAAGAAAATATAAAGCTTATCTTTTCTATTAGATTGTGCAATTATAATTTTTGTCTTTAAAAATTTTAATCTTGCTCCAAAGGGTGAAAGTTATGTTTTAAAAATTGACTAATATGTTATATACTCAATGTATTCTATCGATTGCTCTACTGATGACGATATTGGTCAGAATAGGCTAGTTTAAGCTACAGTAACAAACAACTCAAGTGTGATTGGCTTAATACCACCAAGGTTTATTTCTCACTCACTCTACACACCCATAACAGCTGATAGGGGGTTATTTTCAAGGTAGTTTCCCTGAGACCCAGGCCAATAAAGTGCCAACATCCTGGAATGTGGCCTCCTTGGTCAGTGCAGCTGGAGAAGAGAAAACTAAGGAGTCAAACATCTGCCATTCAATGCTCCGATCCACAAATGCCAATAAATCACATTTATTGGCAAAAAATAGTCTTGTGACCATGCTTTACTTCAGGAGGGCAGGGGATTGTATGCCTCCATGTATCCAGTAGAGAAGTAAATATTGGTGAACATTAATAATTATAACCTACCATAATTACCCATGAAGCTAAAATTTATGCCCACACTAACATATGAAAAAGTAATTGAAACTGATTGTGCTCAAAGAATGTGAACTGTGGGCCAGAAGTTCCACCCAGAAGAAGTGGGAAAATTGGAGCTCTATCCACACTCAGAAGTCCCCTGTTCTCTCAATACGGTGTCTGGAGAGAGAGCCCAAGTTCCAGATAACCCAGAGCCAGCCAGGTAGCAGTTCTGCTTGACTTTTAAAAACCTATTAGCTGCCTGGAAATCAACTCTTTTACACCTGTTATGCATACCATCAAATACCTCCACCACTCACTCACTTAGTATCTGCCCCCTACGCCCAGGTATTGAAGAAACCCATCAGGTGGGGCCTACACACGAGAGGTCTAAACAAGGTGCTCTGGGAACACAGAAGTGGGAGCAATAAATAACTTTTAAGTGTTTTAAACTCTGATATAGCCTTTTTTGTGTATGTGCTTTTGTTTGTGATACAAATCTTAGTCCCCACCTTGCCAACTCTGCCCCTTACCAGTTCTGTAGCGACAGTCAACTCCCTTCATTTCTCTGAAGCTCAGTTTCCTCACCTGTAAAACGGGGGTAATAAGGCTTACCTCCCAGAACTGCTGAGAGAACAAGGATGAGATCATGTCTATGGCAATGCTTTGTAAACTGTAAAGTTCTGTGTCGGTCCAAGTTATCATCACCATCACCATCATCATGGCTGTCTTGCACTGTCTAGGGGGGGACCCCAGGGTTGGGGAAGGCCCAGAGGAGAGAGGGGCTCCCAGTCTGACCCTGCGGCCCTGCTGGAGTCAGGGCCTCCCTCTAATTAACTCTTCCTGGCAGAAGCTCCTTTCTGGACATGTTTGCCTACCAGCGAAAAGCCAGGCGAGGCCTCCAGGGGCCGCCCACTGGCCCTGACACACGGGGGAGGAATGATGATTCACCAGCCGCTAACAGCCTCGCTGACAGGCCTCTGGCCCAGCCCCTGGCAGAGACTATAGGGCTAGCAAGGGTGCAGGGGGGCAATGAGGCTTCTAAGCAGAGAAAGTGAGAAAGATGGGAAGAGGGAGGGGAAGAAAAAGGATAAAGGAAAACGAAAGGTACAAAAAGGCAAAAGAAAGAAATGAAGAAAAAGAAAGTAGAAAAAAGGAAGTAGATGTGGTTACCGGGAGCTAGGGAGAACGGGAATTGGGGAGTTGTTATTCAGTGGGTATAGTCTGTTTTGCAAAATGAAAAAGTTCTAGACCAGTGGTTGTCAACCTTCCTAATGCCGCAGCCCTTTAATACAGTTCCTCATGTTGTGGTGACCCCCAACCATAAAATTATTTTTGTTACTACTTCATAACTGTAATTTTGCTACTGTTATGAATCATAATGTAAATATCTGATATGCAGGATGTATTTTCATTGTTACAAATTGAACATAATTAAAGCATAGTGATTAATCACAAAAACAATATGTAATTATATATGTGTTTTCCGATGGTCTTAGGCGACCCCTGTGAAAGGGTC